ACTTTCTAGTAGCTGCATTAGAAAAGTAAAAAGAAACAGAGAATTTATTTTATTTAACCCATGAGATCTAAAATATTATTTTATTTCTCAATATAAAATATTGAGATTTTTTAATATTCTTTTTCATACAAATTCTTTGAACTCCCATGTGCTTTTTTGCACTTATAGTACATCTCAGTTTGGACTAGCCACATTTCAAGGACTAACAGCCATGTGTGCCTAGTGGTAGTTCTGTTGGACTACTCAGGTCTAGTTCATGTCCATTTCTAGAATGGTCTCTAGTATACCCAAGGTATTCAGTAAGCCTTGTTGAATAAGTGGGTCTTGCTATTTCAGACATGAAACAACAAGATAATGGAAGTTGTTTTTCACATTAGATGTTTTTTGCAGTTGTTTGGGTGGTGGATGTTAGAGGTATTTGGATATTTTCTTTAGAACATTTCACTCTATTTACATACAATTTAATGTTATTAGTGCTTGATAAAAACTGGTTTCTTAAGTAACCCAGTTTAAAAGATTTGCTTAATAGTTGATATAAGAAGTAACTGGTTCTTCTTTAAAAAGAATTCCATGGAATGTTTCAACTCAGTTTTCTTTTTTTAAAAGATCTAATAAAAGCAATTGGCAAATCTATCATAGGCAAGAAAGAAAGGCTTGAGGTATAGCATTCAGTCCTGATTTCACCCCTGATTTCATCCTGTCCCAGCTGTGGGACATTGAACTGGAATTTTAACCTTAGTTTTCTTTGAGCTTTAGTTTTCTCATTTGTAAATGGAGGGTTTCATCCATCATCTCTGTCCTCATAGATTAAATGAGATTGCATATGTACATAGTCCAGCACAGTGGGTGGAAAAGAGTAATTGCTTAACAAAGAGCGATAATTATTATTGTAATGCAGTGAAAATTGAACTTTTAAATACTAAGATTTTTTTCATCTTAATTTTAAATATTTTAGTTTATATGTTTATGAATTTTAGATTCCTAACATATAGTGGTTAAACTGCCTTTTTTATAAATGTTGATTTGAAGTTTACTACAGAAATTGCTTTTTGATTAATTTTTTGGTTTTTAATATTGACATCTGTGAATTGAAGAAAACCAAGTATGTACCTAAGCATTGTGCCTCACATGTAACAAACACTAAAAATTTTTAGATATTATTTATTTATTGGTTTCTTTCTAAATCACTGTTTTGATTAATTTATATGTTTGCTATATACTAATAATGAGCTTAAAAGAGTTAAATTTTTTATTTATTTTTCTGCTTTAATGTTGCATGTACTTTAATAACATTATGTAGGATTAAAATTCACAATCATGCAGCCACTTTAATGCATTTAACACAGGTCATCTTTCCCCTCCTGATGGTTTTTGCCCACCTCCTCCTGTGTGTCTTATGAAAACTAGGGTTTGGATTTAAATTGCGGGCATGAAATTTCACTTCATTTCTTGGCCTGCTTGCTTCAACTTTGTTCAGAACAAGTTCAGAACTAAATTGGTGGTCATTGAAGACAGAAGGTTCTATATATTTTATAATAATATTCTTTCTTCAATAGCATATATGTTTCAGCAGTCACCATTTAATGAAGTGTTGCTGATCTCTCAAATGGGAGGGTGTGTTCAAATTTAGGTAAAACTTTCCATCTGGCTTCTAATTTCGTGTTCAAGACACTATAAACATATAACTTTCTTAATGATTCATTTAACTTTTCTCCATCAATTTAGAAATAAGATAGGATTTTGAAGTGTTTTAAAGTCATAAGTTTCCCTTTTTTTGGTTTTTGGTATTCCTAAAAAAGTTTTCGAGGATAGATTAAAACATCAGGTCATTTTCTACTTTATACTTTGCCTCAGTCAATAACAATATACTGTCAATTCTTTCTCAGAAATATCTGTCAACAACATCCTCTCAACTCTTTTCTTGTGGCCCTGTCTTAATTCGGGTCTTTAGCATCTCTCATGCTGGACTGAATTATGCACTTAGTAAACTAGTATTCAGGGATGATCTTTGTCCACTTGAGTGACAGTAACAAAATACCTCAGACTAGCTAGTTTGTAAATAACGGAATTTTATTTCTCATAGTTCTGGAGTGTGGAAAGTCCAAGAACAAGACACCAGCATTGTTGTGTCTGTGAGAGCCCACCTTCTCGTTCACAGCCAGCTCCCTGCTGTCTTCAGTGGTAGAAGGGTTAGGGAGTGCTGTAGGGCCTCCTTTATAAGAGCATTAATCCCATTCATAAAGGCTCCACCTTCTTGATCTAAGAACCTCCCAAAGGCCCAAATTTCTTATCTTTGAAGGTTAGAATTTCAACATATGAATTCAAGGAGGATACAAACATTTAGACCATGGCAAGACACATCTACTTAAGTTTGGGGATGTAGTGATGTCCAAAAAATCAGTGCCATCTCTGCAGTCATAGAACTTGTACCTTGCTTTTCCATTAGGCTTTTATCTGTTTTGGAGCCCTCGCCTGTACTCCTTCCACACTAGCTTCTATACCATATCTATGCAGTCTATTTCTTAAAACTCTTAAGCAGTCTTCGCTGGCCCAAGATTATACTGTGGTACCTTAGTACTTGTTAATTTGTTCCTGAACTCACAGTGAGTGCTGAACCCAACAAGTACCAAATGATGAAGCATTTTCTCTTGCAAGGCAGCTTCATGACTCAGGCAAGTTTTAGTAAGTGCAACAAATCCTGAGCAAGCATGGCATGCTGAAACATTTTTTTTCTCATCAAAATGCAACGAGTACAGGGTTTGACTGGTTCTGAAGCTGATGAGTACTGAGGTATGACTGTATTCCAGATTCTTTACCATGTATAAGGTCTTCATAATATGCTTCCTCTGGCAAACCCCATGATGTTGAAACACCTGCTTTTCTTTGAGGCCTATATCCTTTAAGACCTGGTTCAGAAGTCACTTCCTTTGCTGCCATCCCCATCTTCCTCTGACTGGGGTAGATTGTCCTCTGAACACCCACAACACTGTCTGACCTCTCCTGCAGTAGTCATGGTTTCCTAAATATCATTCTGCCCTCATTTGACCATGAACAAATGAATGAACATCTTAAAAAGAATTACTTTGTGTAATGCATAGTTCTTATACTATCTGAGAGAGTATCTATACTTCAGTATTTTATCACACATTTATTACCTGTGGATCTAGGACTCTGTGAGTAGGAGATGGTAAGTAATCAATAGGTGTGTCCTCTGCCATTACGATTACTGCTTTGAGAAAATATTAAAATAATCAGAACTTTCTGATAATTATTTTGGGAATGATGTTTTATATAGCATGGGTATTAAAGAAAAAATTCCTTGTCTTTTTAACCTTAGGAAGCTTGTCTGGTTCTCACTCTTGCCTGGGAGCATCTGCCTAGTTTGTCTATGTGGTCTGCAGCTTTTTCAGTCAGTCCCGAAGTCAAGTCACTGTAGTCTTGGGGAAAGCGACATTCACTTTGGGATGATTTCTGCATATTCACTGGGCAGTTCATGTACTTTATGGTGATGAATCATAGGAATGAACCACTAGGAAAGAAGGGTTTTATTTTGGTTTCCTTCCTTGTTAGTTTTTCTATTTCATGGAAAAAATGTTAATAGACGTAAGACTTTTGTGGGTTTTGTAGTAAATTCTATGTTGACATTTTAAGAAAAGTATTTCCTTTTTTCTTTTTTTTAAACTAATTACTCTTGGAAACATTCCTTCACCCTTCCATCTCATGGCTCTGAATTCCATTAAGAGCATAGAAAATGTTACAAATAAGGGAATCTCTTTGCTAATCAGTTTTATTTTTATATTGTATAAATGTATACGCAGGATGTAAAAGAGAGTACCCTTAATCAAGCAAATAATTTGTTTCTCAGGTTATAAAAATGTCTTGGCTTAGAATTAATAGCAAAAGACAGATTTTTGAAAGTATAGGGGTTTTCTGTGTTTGTTTAAGCATTCTTCTGAGTCAAAGGAGGGAAGAATTACCTGTGTGTCAAAAAGACAATGTGGTATCTTTAGAATTCAGAGCATGTGCTTCAGTGATGCCACTTCTACTGCAGTTCATACCACGGGGTGTATTCAGTACACTCATCTGTCATTTCCAAGCTACACATTAGAATTTAAGATGCCTTGTATTTGTTAGGTTGTGTGGATAAACTGTGGTAATATAGACACCCAGAGTACGTGACCATGGGCTTGGAAATGTATATTGTTAGTGCTTCATATCAACTAAAGGACTTTTGAAATTGACTCTACTTTATATATACTATACCATTAAGACCATAATGAGCATAAGTACCTGTGCTTGCAGTTAAATTGCGAAAAATGGCTTTGTGCTTTGCCTTATTGTAGAGAATGTGTTGCACAATGTTGTGCAGAAATGGATAGCATGTCCTTGAAGTAAGTTATTTTCATTCTTTACCTTTTGTGGGTTAAAAACCACAAAGTTGAAATATAGTCTGCAAAATATACTGCAAATATATGTGAGAAGTCCATGAGCCATGTTGAAACTTAATTAATATGCTGAGAAATATATAAAACATACAGCCACTGGATTGAGAAAATGAAAATTAATATATGAATGTTTTAGCTAACACCGTGCTTTGCCTCCAGAACCTGGTGTTTATTATTGTGTGCTTTAGTAGGAGACAGAAGTAGTACCGATTGAGAAAACATTTCTTAGTGAATTGAGAACAGTATGGCTTTCCAGTTTCTAAGTAGGAAACCTGGTTCTTTGGTTTCTTTGTTCCTAGTTAAGCTAGTCCCGAGCTATTTTAGCTGAACATTTTATATACTAATGGAGTCTAGGGAAGTGCCTTTGGCAGCTGTTCATGGGAAAATAATGAAATACCCTATTTAGTACTGCATGCTGCCGCTGTAAAATGGGGAGAGTATTTTATAGAGATCTCAGTGAACAGAGCTGTATCCACTTTAAGTTTAATAAGTATGTGAACCTGAGTGAGGAAGTTGTATTTTCGTATGGGAATAACTAGTATTCTTTTCTTACAGGTAAAGAAAACGTGCACAGATTCAGATGTTTCAGAACCTCAGAATTCCAGGTACAGTAAAATAGAGGCCAAGACTTTCTAAGAAAAATTGCAATTTTAAAGAACTAGTAAGATGTTATATTCTAGATACAGCTGTGATTTGAAATACTGAGTTTCTTTAAGAGCTTAATCTTTGCAGAAATTGTGTATTATACTGATTAGGGTGCCATGAATCATTATATTAATAAAAAGGATAATGATTAAAATCAGCTTTAAAGACTAATAGCAGGAACATCGCCGGAAGTACCGGAGGACATCTTCCCTTGGCATTCATTATTTTACCTTTGCCTTCATTTTTCTTACGAATCTTATCAAGTATTTGCACCTGACATTTTGCCACAAACTCAGTAACTTCCAAATCTGTGTTTACCAAAATAACTGTAATGTTTCTTTTCTTTCTTAATCAAACACTTCTAGATTTTATAAATGCTGTCAAATTGGAAAAATCAAAATTAACTTGACATTTTCTTCTTGGTTATTTGGCGTCCATAGAGATGATGAATTAAAGGGGTCAGGCTGCCATATACAGGAATTTCTAGTTGCTTGGTGTCAGATCAGATGCCCAAAAGGTTTTTCAGGCCTACGTATTTTCATTTCAAGATCCAGAACCTCAATTTGAAATAGAAAAGTGAAAGTATTATAAGAATCATTGCCATAGTAAACATATATTCCTAATGTGATATTAATGATATACCTTAACTTACTGCATTAAGACATTTGTATTTAGTGGTGAGATGGGTCTTAGTTTATTTGATCCTACTTGCTCCAGCATAGGACATACATAGTGATTTGCTTTGTGCAATAAAATAGCACAGCTCTAGGTAAAGGGTTAATAACTGCCATACATTCTTCTTGGACAACAGTACATGTTCATACAGTCCCTTTCTAAGGGACTAATAAATCTGTGACTTATTATTTAAGTAATTAGATAATTTTTGCAAGCTGCTGCTCTTAGGGGTTACTAAGAAAAAACAGAACAATATCATCATTCTTATTTTTACTATTTCATATCAAAATATTTTACCCTTCAAGCCACTTGAGATTTTTGGCCTGATAATATTATGCTTAAATAAATTAACCAAGCAGAAAGCCACCAAGCTGATTGTGTTCACAGTTGATATCAGTAAGTCAAAGAAGAAACAGAGTTTAGAGCTCAGTGTGTGTAAACCTAGAATTAGAACAGGAAATCCCAGGTGATATGGCCTTAGAAGTGCAATTTTGTTTTTAAGGCAAATGGTGGCTATTTTAAAGGACTATTTAAAATATATTTTATCTTTTTATAATATTTATCAGATATTTAATATATAATGTTAATATATTAATACATATTATGTGATATATATTCATTGAAAAGTAGCTTGACTTCCTAAAAACTAGCAGATGGTTGCTGTGATTAACTTTCTATAAGCAAGGTAAAATTAGAAAAATTAATTTCTGAGGATAGTAAAACGTGATATCAAAAACAAACAAAGCAATACTTACACGTTAAATACAGCTGGAAAGACCTCAGGTGAGCTAGAATCACCTATTGGTTCAAGGTTGCCCAGAGACTTTGGTAGTAGCTGGTCTCTCCTAACCTCTGGTGCAAGAGACAGTCTCCATCCCCTAATAGTGTCTGTAACATAAAGATGTGACTACTCTTGGATTCTCTGTTTATTCATGAGTGTTAGGTATTGAAGTGCCAAAACCAGCACTTAATTACTGCAATGATGGAATACCAAGAAGAAACTAAAAATACACTGAAGAATATTCTGCACAAAATGCACACAATAACTTATTAAAGTTAGTGAATCAAGGAATGCCAATAACCGTATTTTGCATGTATGGCCTGTTTTGAGGTTCAGCTTTATAACCCTTCAAAAAATACCCCACACCAAAATGCCTTTATTATAGACTCTCACAGCATTGCTTTAGTATGTACAATACATATGTGGCTGCATTCTATTTTAGTTATTAAAAACCACAGATGTTCAGATATTCATTCTTTCTCTCTCTCTCCCTCTCCCTGCACCTTCCCCACCTCCCATGCATGTGTGTGTTTGCAAGTGGAAGAGAGGGAGGGAGGGAAAGAGAGAGAGAGAGATTCAGATAAAGATTTAAAAGCATAGGCTAGATAATCCTATTCTAAACAAATACAAAGTGAAGAACAGAGCTCCAAATGAAATACTGTATCAGCATAAAATGCATGCAAGCTGGAGACCCACTGCCTTATAAAATGCTGGCTCACTTGGAACCAAAACTAATGTCACTCACTTCTGTAACTAGCTTTATAGTATGTTGGTTTTGGATTTGAAAAGATTAGAATGAACACAGATGGAAAGTGTTTTTACAGTAGGGAAGTAATTAAATTGGGTGTGGAGAATTTGTCAGGAAAATTCTTGGAGTGACATGTGTGTATCAGCAAATTCTTTGTCTTGTTTGGCCCTAATTCTTCTTTTGGAAAAAAAAACAAAAATGCTTAAGCTGCATATGTGACTGGTACGTGAAGGAAAGAGAACTTGCAAACCCATGCAATGGAAGTAAGGTAAAAATGCCTTCTTCAGAATGACATACTGAAAGTGAAACATTAAGGATAGTGTTTTCTCAGGTTCATAAAACTGTATTGAACTTGATGTCATATGGGAAAGTATGCAATGTGCTTCTAGAAAAATTGATACTTCTCTTATTTTTACCTTTCTCTGTGTTGCCTACTATGCCTGTCCAGAGTATAGTATTGTTGGTCTTTGTTTCTAAAAGTAATGTTGACCATACAATATGTGCATGAGAAAATGAAAATATTTACTTCTCTCGTACTTTACCACACCCTAAAATTATTTACTAGATAGACCATCTTAAAAACACATAAGCTGAAATATTTTATGTTCATTCATGGCGAGTTTATTCAGCAAATTTGTGTCTCATTTGAGTCATCACTGAAAACACATTGATCTTCTTGAGTTTTACTATATTAGCTTCTGGACCAGTGAAGTTTATAGCAGAAGTTTGTTTAGGTTTTACATTTTGGGTAACTCTTTTGCTTTCAGTCCTTTTTATTTCTGAGAGCAGTTGAGGGAGTAATTTATTTTATTCTTTAATTGCATTCTTGGCAAATAGTCTTAGAGTGCATACATGTTAAAATAGTCCCCATAATATCTGAATGATTTATTTGGCAAAAATTGAGTTACTCTTTACTTTTTCCTTGTGAGGCCACTAATTAGTGGCCTTGGAGCGTTTTCACCAAGATGAGATGAAAAACACAGAAAGAAAATAAAACTCGAATCAGGCAATTTTGTTTTAAAGTCATTCTGTAATTAAGGAGTGAATGGAAATAATTTGGTGAAACTGGGTTGCAAAGTGACTTGTAAGAAATGTATCACTTCCTTTGTATTACTACTTCATCTCGCCCTGGCCAGGGTACCGCTAAGGGAGAGAGCATCGAAATGTAGGAAGTACATATGGTGCATATGAACAAAGATGATAGTTTTCCATCTCGAATAAAAGATGCTTCTGGGAGTAATGGTGAAGGAAGACTCTTCCCCACTTTAAAAGTTAAAGAAATTGGGTTTTCTGAGAACTGAGTGGTTGCCTGAAATCAACAAGGTCTCGGCCATGTACTGTGAGTTCTTGCCCTAGTCTATCCTAACTTTAGAATTATCAAGAGAAAGGCAGAACACTCTCCTGCTTTTAAAGTATCATTGGAGTGAATCCCTCTTCAATATCTAGTAATTCCAAGAGCCTCAGGAAGTTTATCTATTCAGTGTCCATGTGTAAAAACTTTAAAAATAGAATGTTTTCATTTTATGTAAATAGGTATAATATAGCAATGTTATATTTAAGATATTAAGTTATACGTGTTTATTCGCTAGTAAGATAATTATTGCAATACTTCCAGAATTCAGAAATGTTTATCTGCATATAATTTTCTATCAAAAATTAAATGCTGCATTTTTCCTACCAGTGAAAATGGAGGACCCCTTTGTGAAAACATGCACAGTATCTCACTGTGTCGAATGAGAGGCTTAGCTGGCCCAATGTCCTATCCCTAAGAAGCCTCAAAAATTATTACTAGAGGGTTACATGTTCTCAATCTTGAAAAGTTTAGCATGTAGCACCAATAAAATTATGTACTCCCAGTAACATAATCTAGCTGTACATTCCATGGGGTTACTTAAGCATTTCTTGGACTTAGTCATTTTACTAGCATACACTATCTTTTAAATTGAAGAACCCAGAAAATCACTAATCGTAATACAAAATAATAATTCATCCCTTATAATCATTTGAAACTACCTCTTTCAAGTTATATCCTTTCCCTGAAAATGATAGATGATTAACAGATATTCTAAGAGTGCAGTCTAATTCTCCTGTTTCAGAATTTGAAGAGGAAGACCATGGTAACTCAATCTCTATATGAAATGGTTTAGTTAACCTGAACCAGTTATAACTTCATTGTTTTCTTTCTGATCTCGAGAGCATTTTGTCTCATTTCAAAGCCTGGCTTCATGCGGACGCCTGTCTGGTCGCTTTATCACTCTGCCTAGCCTTCGCTGGAGGTTTTCTCAATCTGTTTCGCCTTCCCTGGTGCACGTTGACAGATTCCTACAGGTGTGGGAGCAGCTGGGATTCTGAGTACGAGTGAACGATAAGTTCTGGTGTTGCTGCTAATCGTGTCCTCATTTTCTGGGATGTCTTGACCCTTTTGGTCATGGTAGCATATTAAGTTGATTTCCTCAGATAATTGCTTACAGTGTCTGCTAAATCCCTGATATCGGCGAACATTGAAGATTTAAAGAACAGTCTCAAAACTTAGACTATTGTCTCCTAAATGCCTTAACATATATATCTCTGATTAGCCTTTTCCAGTGGCTCACAGACGCCATCCTCCTCCTTCCATAGAGGCTGGACTGCTCCATCCCCCTCCGTGCTGCCTTTTCCCTCCCGTCTTCACTCTCCTACTTAGTGTTAACTCCTCCTGCAGACCTTTGCTCTTCCCTGCTTGGCCCACTGCTCAGTGTCACCATCAGAGGACAGCC